CACGGCAGTTTAGTACATCTTAAAGGAAGGTTATGGAATGGTGAGATGGAAGAAAAACCAGGTGGTATAAGCCTTGCTTGTTTCTGCTGAGCTCTGTTACTTAAATCCTCAATAGAAACCTCACTAGCAGGAATTTTAGCAAGTTATCAACTACATGATTAGAGGTTTTTATTAACTATTCTTAATATAAAAATGGAATCATGGCATCTGAGTTTGAAAAGTAAATTAAAAATTTATACCAAAACTCAAAATATAGACAATGCAATATTATAAATTCTAATGCTGGCCCAAGCTGTCAACACATTACATACAAGTGAATCTGATGGATTACTGTTAATTTTTTGTACCATTACGTGTAAAGAGATTGACATTGCTAAACTGCTAAATTCCCTTGATCAGTGAGACAGGAACCCTTTTATGGAATATTCAGTTTATAAAAAGAATAGTGAGAATGCATCTCGGAGCTGTTTTCTAAAGATCTAACTTATGCAGCTCAACACCAAGTAGGCTTCGATTAATTTTTTTGTATGGTCCCCCGAACCAAATTAGTTTGGGTCTGTACCATTTCAAATAGAGTACTGTACCATCACTATCATTGTGTACATTCATAAATCAAAGCACAATTAGAAAAGAAAAATGAGTGAATCACTGACAGAAAGAGGACAGCACTGACTAGGAAATGGAAGTGACACATAATGGTTATAGTTCAGGGACTTTATCCAGCAGATGGGCATTATCACGACTCCTAAAGTTCTGCTTGATAGATGGATGGATCCTCAAATGTAATCTGATGTCATAGTTCATATGCCCCTCTTGCTGTTTGCCGAGGTTACCAAGGAGAAGTTGCAGAGGGTGCTGTCAATAAGGTCATTCCCCAGGGATCTTAGTGACCCACCTTCCATTGCACGCTTTCTCACAAAATGGGCTAGAGATTGCTGCTTTCTTTCTGTATTTAAGGAGGAGTGATCAAGAAATACAATTTGCACTTCATTTACATACTACTTTGAGATCATTTCACAGTGTAGGGCATTTAAGCAGAGTCCTACCTAATACTCTTAATTCATACTTATTAAAGCCTACCAAATATAACAATTCGTTCTGTTGACCTCAAAATATACCTGTAAAAGCACATTTTATTGAGTTTTATCAATGAAGTAACTGACTCAGAAAATTTAAATAACTTGCAAATATACTCAAGCTACAGTGTAGTAAAACTGAATCTTGATCTCAGGTCTATCAGTCTCCAAGGCCCATGATTTTCTGAACCTCACAGTCAAACAAATAAGAAAGATTATGGAAAGCTGAGTAGTTTTTCAGTCTATCTTACACTTAGCTTTAGGATTAAAAACATTGGTAACGTTTTTCTAAAAAGATGTAGTGCTTAATATTCAAATTATATTTAATTTGAGCCACGTAACATGTGTGTTCAGGTCAGTAATTAAATTTTTTTTTTTTTGTACCGAAGATCGAACTCGGGTCCTTGATCATGGGGGTCAGGCGGTGGAACCCAGCCCAAGTAATGTAAATTTGTGTGTAAGTAAAGTATGGCTCTTAGCTTCAAGAATTTATAGTCTAGGGGTAGATCTGCCTCCACATACAACTTCTGTTCATTTTGAACTCTGTATGTCAGGTGTTATGTGTGAGGTGCATTATAAATATGATTTTGCTTTATTAGTTAATCCTTAAATTCTAATAAAGTAGTGGTTTTACAAATCTTTTTATCAAAATGTAAATCATAAACAACAATCTATGAGGCCTTTATTCCAACTAGATAAAATAAAAAAGACTTTACAAAGGAGATGAATGGCACTTCAGCTGAGCCCTGAGAATAAATGGGATTTTAATAGCACAGCTGTGAGAGGGATTCCTGGAGCGGGGCTTCCACGCCATGTGAAGTAGGAGCAGATAAATGAAGGCAGGGAAGTATAGAGTGTCCTCAAGTAAGAGCAGCATGCGTGTGTCGGATAGTATAACTTAGGGCCAGAGAATGGGTAAAGGAGTGAATATGGACACTGAACCTAAACAGTAAGTAGTAACAAGTTATGAAGGCCATGTACAGCATGCACAAGATTAACATGGGGAATGGAAAACTACTGAAGATTTCTAAGCTAGAGAATGACCAGTCAAATCTGATTGGATTTAGAGAAACTATAGGCTCAGACAGAAACCTAATTCCATACCCTAATGACTAATCCAGCATAGTTATTTGCTATGCCAATTTTCTTCTTTAGAAACTAGTTTTCAAAATATTTATTTATAGACTCGGTGGTACATGCCTGTAGTCTCAGCTACTCAGGGGGCTGAAGCAGGAAGATCACTTGAGTCCAGGAGTTCCAGGCAATATAGGAAGACCCCCACCTTTGGCTCATACAGTTTTACAAGGTTGAAAAATAAAAGAACAGTAATATTTTGTGCTACAAAAGTTTTGTGAGATTCCATTCAACATTGACTAATGAGGTTGTATCGGGCACAGCTGCATCCACTTGGTCACGTGTTGCCTGTGGTCACTCTTACATTATAGGAGCAGAATCAAGAGTCTGCCACGGAGATCATCTTGCCAACAAAATAGTTTCTGTCTGATCCTTGGCAGAAAACATGTGACGACCTCTACCTTAGTGTGTCTCCTTGGCCCTCTTAATCTATTTTTATGGGTTTCTTCCTTCTGGGGTGTGAATGGAAAATGAATATAAGTTCGTTAATAGAAGCAAGGTACCTTTAGCTTTCTGGTATTATTTTGTATGTTCCATATCTAGATTCTCTGAGCTAAAAAATAATGAGGTAGAATGTGTTTTATCCATCATCACATCCCTTCCCTCTGGGGATTCTGAAAGTGTGGTTTTCCTTTTAGGTTAGAGAGCGACGTTTCTTTTTAAAAACACACTCCATTTTTAGTTCACACTCAGGTAGTCGGCTCCACAGAACAGTGTCAGATGAACAGTTTGATTTCTCCCCATACCTCATTCAATGAGTTTTCATCTGGGGGGTTCAGGAATGCTGGGGTAACCTTTGACTATGAACCGTTGAGCTTACTTTCCTATGTGCTATGCTAATGCCACAGCAACCTATCAGCTGCCTTATGTGTGTGGCAAAGCTGCAACACAGCATCCGAGCTTTCTTGGCCTTACAGGACTATATGGACAGCAAAAGGAGGCAGGATAACCTGTCCTCTGTAGACTGAAGGGGAGTGATGGGATGCAAAGTGAAGATATTCACCCCTCTTCACATCCTGCATCCACACCTGAGCCAAATGTAGTCTGGCTTCTACTCCATTCACCCATCATAGAATCCCCACGGCAAGTGCTCTAACTAAGGTCAACAGTAGCCTCTTAACTGACAAATGGAAGTAATACTTCTCAGGCCTCAGCTGACATTTCTTCTGAAATGCCAGACACATTGAACACGCCTCCCTACTTCACACTTTCACTCCTCAGACCCAGAACAAACATTTGACCTAGTGTTTCTTCTCTTGTCAGAGATCAGAGAACTCAGTGAGTCTGGTAGGCTTTTCTCTCTCTGCCCATCCTCTGCATGTGCTCATCTCCAGGGTTATATCCAAGGCCACTCTGAGTTAACTGAGTTAAGTCTGTGACCTCTATGTTTCAGTTACTGTCTGCATTTCAATGGCTATATTCTCAGTTTAAGACTACTATCATTTACTTGATCATCCAATTCTCTTCTTCCTCCAGTTTCAGTACTTACAAAGTCCTCTCATTTATTGCTCTTAAATATGTTTTGAGTTTTCTTTTCCTCCATTCTCAGTGTTTCTTTCTTTGCACAGGACTTATCACTCCTCACTTGGACTATTTGCACTTCTACTAGTTTCTTTGCTGTCTCTAGTCTTTGTCCAGCCCACTCCCAATATCACTGCAAGTGTTATCTTCAAAACAGAAACCTCATCACTCCCCTGCCAAAAACTTTCAATGGCTGCATTCATCAAGGGATAAAGTCCAAACTTCTTAGGTTGATTATAGCATTAGGTCCAGTTTCTGATCTTGCCTCCTACCATCCACTAGTTACAGTCTTTACTTCCTTAATATAGAAAGATCAGTTTTTCTGCAATTTAGATTGGTTCTTTCATATTTCTGCTGTGGTTTGCATATTCTTTCCCTTTTTCTCTACTTGATCAAAACTCAATACCTCTCCCAAGGCCTAATTCACATATGGTATTCTCCTTCTCAAAATTAGTTATCACCTCTTTTTGACTCCATAGCAGTTTGCACACACTTGGACAGAGCATTTTTTATAGTGTATAGTAATTGTTTATTTACATATTTTTCATACATAAGATGATGTCTCATCTGTCTTTTTATTTTCAGTGCATAGTGTCTCTTTTTTTTTTCGGTACTGGGGATTGAACTTGGGTCCTTGTGCTTGCGCAGCAGGAGGTGAAACCACTCAGCTAAATACCTGGCTATAGTGTCTCTCTCATAAAAAGCATTAGAGGAATGAATGTGTCCAAGCTATGTGTCTGCACTTATACCAGGAGCTCTCTAGATTCTGTTGCCAGGCATGTTAGACATGAATGCTGTTGCGAGAACCTTATAGGGCAACTATTGGCAGAGAAAGTTTGTTTTCTTCTCTCATTTTTGTTTGTTTTATTTTGTTTTGAGTCAAGATTAAGAATAGATGGCTACAGTTATCCATGAAGTCAGGTGTGCCTTTGGTGTTGTAGTTGTAGGACAGTATTTATTTTAACAGACTAGAATTAAGAGGACAGACTTTCAGTTTCACTGTTAGTGAATCACATGTATTAGAGACAATATTTAAAAACTAAAAGAACTTCATAAAAAGTTAGTGCCTTGTTAGACATAAAATATGTACATGTGTATAATACGAACATATATATGTACATGAACATATATTTAAATGCCACCATTATCACATTACTCTTATATTTCATTATATTCATCCTCAAAATTTTTTATTCAAGTCCAAAGGACTAGGTTCTATTTTCAAGTTTTTTTGTTTGTTTTCTTTTGGTACTGGGGATCGAACTCAGGTCCATGCACTTGCACAGCAGGCAGCTAAACCACTGAGCTAAATCCTCGGCCTCTGTTTTCAAGTTTTGCTTCTGGTATTTACCCATGCCTGTACAATAATGACATGATAGAATTATATATTAAATGATTAACATACAGGACATTCAGAGGAATTAATATATGGTTTATGACCTTATGGAATTAACAAAAATCACACTCATAAAAAGGTAATTTTGAGATATGCTAATAATGGCAAACAATATGTGAGACTTCACTTTGTATTTTACCATACAGCATTTTATATACACTATATGTTTAATGGATATTTGCTGACTGAATGAAGTGACAATAAAATAGAGGCAAATTTGTAGTAATTTTCAATTTTCCTTTCTTCACTTTGGACTTAATTGGAGTTGAGTCTTGGGCTATATGTACTGATACCGGCTAGTTGTGAATATGTGTAAGAGTTTATCCTTTATACTCAAAGATCTCATTTATTATCTATGAAGATAAGCATTTGTATATTTAAAACAAAAATTAGAACAAATGATATAAATAGCCTACATATATAAAATGTAAATAGTCAGTATATAAAATATATATAATTTAAAGCTATGTGAAGTCTGCTGTTTAGCTGAAGGCTTTGCCAGTCTTGCTCAGAAACTTTAAGTGAAAATGTATATCCAAGTCTAATGGGGTGAGGCAGAACTCAGGAAATGTTAATCATCCTCATTGGGAGCAAGTTGCTCTCATACAACAGAGCCTAGGTTGCAAGTAGGATGGAAACCATCTGAAGATGTAGTTCCTTCTAGAAGATGTTTTAGTCTTTTTCAGAAGGAGGAATAGGGTGCCAACAGGTGCCTTGTTGGCTTTGTTAGAGCAGCTCACAAGTGATTTATGTATATTTGTTCTTTGCATATGAACCGGCCTGCCCAGATTTACCCCAGGAACCTCCTATGGACTGCCAAAATATCTTTTCCTTATATAAAAGGGTAGATGTTCATGATTCTAACCCATCTATTTTTCTGTATCTCTGTATGAAGTTTAGTATTTTCACAAGAATGCTTAGAAATATTAGACGAGTTCAAATGGTTGGCCCCAGCGTCCTTCTCTCCTTTTCCTTTTCCAGTTTGGAGCTCCATCTTAGCAAAATAGAGTCATATTTTGAAACAAACACAACTCTTTCTACAAGCTTTTCCACTGCAAGAAAACTGGAATCTCACAAATTTGCATGTACTCAATTTTATGTTCTCATCTCCCTTTATCCAACCCCAGTAATACTTTTAGAATTACCATGTAGCTTGACACTATAGCCTAATGGGTTTTGTTTTGTTTAAATCATAAATGTGTAAAAGTAATAAGAAATGTATATATTGAAAAGCATTTAATAGTTCATACAAGAGGTAATTCTTCCAATATAATCCCAAATTGAATTTTTACTCATTCTAATCCTAGAAGATACACTCAAAGTGGCTCAGTCCATTCTTGATTTGATGGTTTTATTGGCAGTAATAACAGATGTATATTTTTTAATTGAACACTTGTATTCTTGGATAAGTAAGTCATATTATTCTAAAGTGATCTATTTACAAGCACTAGAACTTGGAATTTATAGTAACCCTTAGTTTATTTCAAAGTTGATCCAAAGAATCATTTATGTAGATTTTTGTGTATTTAGATTTTTTTAAGACTTAACATCAATCATTGGTCTACTTTCTGTGAGTCTAAACTACCAATTTAGTGAATGCCCTTTTTATTTTTATTTGCTGTTTTCATTATTTTTATTATCATTATAGAGAATAAGCAAGGTTAGTCAGTGGAGGATGAGCTCATCTCTGCTATTCCAGCTATTTTTAGAATCTTTGATTATTTTTAAAAAATGGTTGAAGGGAAGAAATAGAACCACATTCATCTAAGGCTGACCTTGGTCTTCATTATCATGGAAATTGATGAGTTTTTTCTTTTATGTTTTCTTTAGTTTTCAATAAAACTGTTTCTTTAGAAGTTTTTTATTTTTCTCTCAAACTTGTTATGCAGGAATGTAGTAGCCCAAAGTCAGTCTATCATATGAATAAATGTTTATAGATGATGTATTTAGCTTCTCTTGAAAGTCTGCATCATGGTTTTCACAGAATGGATTCCAAGTTGCTATGAAATCAGTCAATCATTTGTATTTATATATTTTCAGGAGTTTCTGCATTAGAAATTTACACTGTGCACTCATCTCCAAATCATGGTATAAAGAGTATATAAAATCATTTAGATATATTAAAACCTTGATAGAAAATTACTTACTTGATAATTTTATTTTTGCCAGTAAGTTACTTTGCATAAAACAAGGTTAAGTGCTTCCATTCCCCTCTTAATTTTGGTGTATACACAACTACATACTCAGTTTTTCAGAAAACGAAATCCTATAATCCCAGAAAGGGTTTCTAAATTGCTAGTTTTTAATTTCTCTATCACTATCAAGTAGGTAAAAGTTATGACCTGATTTTTAAAACTGTAAAATCATTTCACCATCGAAACCCAAACTTTCTAAATCAAATTTTCACCTATAAACAAGTACTTTGCCATTTATAAACCTTTGAAATTGACGTTTCAAGTTTTTCTAAATTGAAATATAGAACTTTCTAGGCAGCCTTCAAGATAGCTGTGTAGATACATGTCCCTAAGGCATTAAATCGAATAGTGCTCCTCCCTGTATGTTAGTATTTGGGACAGAAGGAAAAGCACTTGTCCTAACTATGGAGCAGGCCAGCTGGTTGATGAACAGGTGACAGGTGACTGGCAGTGAGGGTGCTTGACAAGCACAGTGGGCTGAGGGACTATGAATGTTTGAGGGTTTGCACTCTGGCTCTGGGTTGCTAGTTCATTCTTTTGTAGTCTTGGTTGTGAAGTGATTTATGGAAGCTGTGTGGGCCATACATCACCTTCCTGGTTGGCTTTGTTGACACCTTGTCACATTCTTGTGGGCTTGTGGAATTCATTGTTCTTGTTTGAACTGATAAGAACAAGAAAAAGGAAAGAAAGACATAAAAAAGAAAGACTGAAAAAAAGAGTTTTCTTACTGAAACCTTGGGAAAAGCCAAGGTGGTGGGATGTTGACTTGGGGGAGCAAGATTGCAATTTTCCAAGCAATGCTGCCTTTCCATCTGCCTGTGTCTTCAGCTGCAGGAAGCTTGGCTATCTGGCTGCAATTGTATTTGCCCTCTGGAAGTAGTTTTCCCTGTTTCTTTTTGCTGGAGTGGTGCTGAGGAGAGGGGCTTTGGGGGAAATAAAGAGGGGCATTCAACATAGAATGGCTTAGAGAAGATTCCAAATGAAGGTCAAATGATCACCAGGAGAAAGTAAAACACATGGTGACTTTTGATGTGAGCTGACCTATTCGAAGTTCACTCTGCTGTACAGCGTGCTTTTTGGGCATGGTGCCATGCCGACCTCTCCCCTTTAATGTGTAGTGCCCCATGCTTCACTTAGGATTTTGGCAGCCTGTACACAGAGGCTGGCATTTGAGCCCAGCGCTTTGAAGACAGAAAAAAGTTTCAGCATGGGAACTCATCAAACCACTGGCCAAAAGTTTGTGATGTATACATACGGTATTATTTCCCACTTCAAATGACTAAACTGCTTATTTCTTTAGAAGTCTTCTCTGATATCTTTGCCTCAAAAAAAGTATTATATTCTTTTTCATCCAAAAAAAGTAACTCGTTAAATCATGTATACCACATCACGGGGTTGTAAATGCTCATACTTCCTTTTGTGAAAATATATGTTTTCTTTAAGTGCAGCCCAGCACAAACATTTCATTAACTAATATTTTTTGTCATCATGCAATTGTTGATTGGAAGAAGAAGCTATCTGCACATCAGCCAAGGGCGAGGTGTTCAGCAAACATTCACACTTTTGCATTATTCTGTTAACAAGTTAATGTGTAATCCCATAAATCATTTTACCTGGAAGCACTGTTCACACATCCACACGTGAACCTCATTTTGAACTGGAGCCACCAAAGACTGTTTTCAAACTTCTTAGAAAACGTTCTCTCCAACAGTGTTACACAGTTTGTCAGTATAAACTTCTACTTGATTTACCAAGCTTTTACTAAAGAACTGTCAAGGTAGGTGGCCACATTCAAGAGCTGAGGGGCCAGGGATTTAACTCAGTGGTTCTTCCGCCTGCCTTTCAAGCCCAAGGTCCGGAGTTTGATCCTAGGTACCAAAAAAAAAAAAAATTCAAGAGGTGATATTTATAATGCTAAATGAAAGTTACTGAGCAAAGGTGCAATAGTAAAGCTAATAAATGTATAACAGTCTAGCAACTGCAGGATTAAAATAAGCTAGTTTTGGAAAGCACACGCTCTTTTGTGTACTGTCAAGTGATGTTTTGAATAACACTTAAAGATCTAAACATATACAGTATTGCTAATAATATTGGTGGTATCAAACCTTAAACACATGTCCATTAAAAAAAAAACTACAAGCCCAACTCCCTCAATTTCTTTGCAACTCTGAGGAGGCTGTCAGTTCTGCCTTTGCCTTTTTTCCCAGCTTGGAATTTATTCTGGTCTCCAGAATTAGGTTTACTAACAGTGTTTCACTGCTCTCTACTGGAGAAGCCCGAAGCCAGGCCAGGCATCTGAGGCTAATCACTTGCAAAGAATGTAGGTGTGATGGCTCGGTTGATTAAACTCCTAGCCTCCAGAATTATACTCGCCACAAGACCTATTTATGCATGTTGTACATCTCAGGTCTCAAGCCATGGAGAGGATAAAAATATGCTTCTCAAAGAGAAGGATGAGTAAGATAAAAATGTAACACCACACAAACTCCAATTTCTTAACTCAAATGTTGTCTTCTACAAAGATATCCTATATATTGGTGCACAAAGACTATGCAGTTTCTCAAGTTACTTTTATCCCATGTTTGACACAGCATATCTATAACAATAATCCCCTGCCCCCTAAAAGAAAGAAAATAAAGTTCTTCTGACCATACTATATCAAATTTGAAACAAACTATCTATAGTCTTTTTCTTATATATCTTTAGTATTTATGTGCCTGAATGGAGAAAAAGGATAGTTTTTACCAAGTAAGCAGAAAGTGTATTAGGATGGTATTTTAAAACCTTTAGACAATAATAAATGTTAATTTACATCTTCATTTGCATGAACACAAACTGTACCATGATTTAGATGCTAAAAGCATATTTATAAAAACAAAAGCAAATGATTTTGATGAATAGTTTTAGATATTTATGTTGAATATGAATATATATTTATGTACTACATATACACACACACACACACACAGACACACACATACATTGGTGGGAACAGGAAGTAAAGATATAGGTATGAAACATCTCCAAAGTATTTTATGTTCTTTTCAATCTGGCATCTTTTAACTTAAAAACAACTTGATGAATAGAAATCTTAAAAAGCCAGCCTTACAACAGCATTAAAGTGCTATTCATACTACAGCATTCCAAGTGAATTATTGCTGTGCTGTCAAAGAAAACAAAAACATTTGGGAAGGACTGTTTATTTTACAGTGGTTGACCAAAAGTATGCAAGTGGTTATAAAAAATGTAGACAACTAACGATGGGAGGTGCCACTTGTACATTCTGAAATCCATTCACAAACCTTTGACACTTAACTTTTGATAAATGGAGGTAACACTAGGGACAAAAGCATTTTCCAAGGGAAAATCCATGCATTTTCAAAGCATTTCAGTTCAAGGAAAATTAATAAATCCTCTGTCAACCATCCTGTATCTCTGACATCTGTCTCCTTACTCACAGAGCCTAGTGGCATGATTTTTTTTTCCAAGAAGAGCAAAGAAAAATTTGCATAAATATTTCTCTCAAAAGTTATGGCAATAAGGTATTTCTGTGCTATGAAATTCATGTTGCCCTTGGTATTTAAAGACTAAAATAAAAACTGCCATTTACAATATTAAGAATTTTATATTAAGTATTTCATCTTATAGCTAGATGAAAAATTAAAGATCCCTAATAGGGGGATCTTCATAGTAAAGATAATAAAATGTACACTTAGAGAATATAACTTGTTCAAAGTTACACACATAGGTACAGTAGTGTGGCAGGATGAGAGTAGAAAATAGGAAGCTGAGGTTTGTGTTGTGGCATGTTTTGCCCGTGATCAGACAATTTACAGTCGGGTGTCTTCTAGTGAATGCTTATGTAATGTTTAAGAATTTTTCGGTGGTGAAGAGAATCTTTGAGTCTTGGGGTTGAATTTTCTTTTGCTTTAAAAAAAACTACTAAATTAGGATCCATTGAACCTTTTGGCAGATCACTAGATTTTTTTTTTGAATAATCATAATTGACTTTTTATGATAGGGTGAAAAACAGGAAAAAGTTGATGTTTCAGACATGATCTTATCACATAAAACCACTGAATAAACATTGATCAGAAGTACTCATTTAAAGAAATTCTTCGAATTTCTTTTCTGTCAGTGCTAATACAGCTTGTTTTCTAGTTGGAATGTACATTGTAGGGAAAAAAGTCAGAGGCATCTTGGTGGTAGAGAAAATTGACAAGACAACTGACCACCATTGCCAGGTAGAAGATGCATGGGTATCTGGCTGTCCTAAAGCTCGGTCTCCGGAGTGTATATAGGGAAAGAGGGAGCAGAAGGAGAACTGCTTGCATCTGCACCCCTACCTCAGCAGCTCCTCCTTGTCCTGAGGGTCTCCAGAATCTGAGTTTTGTGTCCCGTTGGCCCAAGAGACAGTTGTCCTTTTCCACAGCTCAGTTGTTTTTGTCTACTGAATGAAACAGCATCAGCTGTTTTTCAGATGTGTATCTGCTTTCCCTCCTTGACATCCTGGGCTTAATCACGTGCTTGTTGGCCAGGATGTGAAAGTAAGACTTGGCTAAAAAACACTTAAAGGATTATGAAGCAATCTTGCTTAATAGTAGCGAAACAAAACAAAACACTCCTCCAGCAAATCCTCATGTGTGCTACTACGTAGTGGAAAGATCCAGTTATGACTGGAACTGTCCTGACCAGAGTATTGTAGACCCAGAAAGAGAGAGGGAGGGGGAGGAAACGGAGAAACTGGCAAAGGAGAGTTTGAGTCACCCGCTCTGTCCGCGGCTGGGCTGGGCTTGCCGAAAACAGCCCCGGGCAACTTCGCTCCAGGCGGTTGCTAATGAGCAGCAGCCAGCTGGCTCTGGAAGCCTGCTAATCCCAGGGCCGGCCTTCCACGCATGCGCCGGGATGATTGACACCTTCGCTCCTGGGCGCTGCACCCTTTTCCAGGGCTCAGAGGCGGCCCAGCTGTGCCCTCTTCCGAGTAGGCTCTGCCACGTAGTGCAGTTCAGATAGTGAGATTTCTACGTGGCATTTGCAGTCCAGTGTCTCTCCTGCCTCTGGGCAGTGTGCTGTTGGCCGAGATCACGGAGCCCAACCTCTGAGTGGTCTCTTCACTGGCGTGGTCTGCCCTGCCCGGAGGGAAGTGAGCCCGGAAACCGCTGGGGACTGCGAGCCAACAGTAACCTTCTTCAACGAGAACTGGGCAGAGGGCAGGGCCTGCTGCCGGCCTTTCTGCTGCTCCTCTGAGAATCACGCGCTGCTATTTCTGTGGCTTCTGCCAGTTGGCCCCTGCCCACGTTTTCTGTTCATACTGAAGCAGCCAAGAACAGAGGGAAAGAGGAAGCCTGGGCTGCGCTCCGGTCTGCACCGCTGCCAGCACTGTGTCTGTAGTAGGTCCAGCCGCAAAAACAAAATAGGGCAGAGCCCCAGGGAGGGCCAGCCAGAGCAGCTGAGCATGGAAACAAAGCAGCCCGCCCAGGGCAGCACCAGCAAGCCCTAGGACCTCAGGCTGGAAGGGAACTTGGACCTCGAAAAGCTGGGAAACTGAGGCCTGGGGAAAGATGTGGGCATATCCGGGCAGTAGCCCACCCTGCAGTATAATCGGTGCCTCCTAAGGGCGCAGCCAACCATATTGTTGTTTGGGTTTTGTAGCTTTGCTACAAACAGCGTAGTAACCCTGAACAAGTTACCTAATCCATCTTGCCTCAGTTATTACATCTGTAAAATGAGGATGGGAACAAAACCTGTAAGGGTGGTTGAGAAAATCAATTGGGGAAGTGTAGGCAAATCACGGGACACAACACTCAGTCACTCAGACCCCAGGAGATGTTGGCTAGTCTTACTTAACCTAGAATTTGAGATGCAAGTGAAGCAGAAAAGATTAAGAAATTGTGCAAACCAAAAAAAAAAAAAAAAGCGCTGATCTGTTAGGGAAATTTTTTTTTTGAAACAGGGCTGCTTTTTCATTAGGAGCACACTTGAAAATCAGACTGATTACATGATTTTGTTCAATTTTGACGTCAAAATGTTCAGTCATATGAGAGATTCTCCCAGTCTCTTTCCAAGAGGAACCCAACTTGGATTAGAAGAAAGCAGGTATGTGAGCCATGGATTCATTCTGCTCAGATTTCCTGGGTCCATGCTTATCCCTCTGTGAATGTGTATCTGAACTTTCCCATAGGAAGTTCAATTTCAAAGCTATATTCTAATGCAAAACCCTCTCTTAAAGGATGACAGGGCTGTTTTAGAGGTGGTGAATAATGCTACTTTGGGAGAGAACACTTATGATCCATGATTTTGTCCTCTTAGGTCCAGGGAAATGGAAGGGTAAAGAACTCAGTTTAAAACAAATTACTCCAAAAATGCTTTCCATCCTGTTCTGAGATTAACTGGCTGTGAATCACTTAATAAAAATAATGAGAACAACAATGACCATTTGTTCAACCCATACTGGTTGTCAGATCTTGTGTAAAGGACTCTATGTGTGTTATATCTCACTTCCTTTCCACAGCAACCCCAGGACATCTCCCCGCCCCTTTGTGATGAGTGAAGTGAGGCTTAAGGAAGTTAAGGAACTTACCCAAGGTCATTCAGCTTAGTAAATGCTCCCTTGCTCTCAGCCACCATTGTATATCCTACCTGCTCCTGAATCCTAACCTGAATTTAGGTTAATCTCTATCCATTGTGGTTTTCTCACCTAGAAATTAAGGGCTGAACATTGTCAAGACTACATATTTCAAAATTCCAAATGTTCCCAGAAAAGCAGTTTGTAATGAACTATCTTGCTTTTCAAGTAAATCCTGTTCTCTTAAAATCAATGAATTAGTTGTCCTTAACATATCCATGTATCCCTTAAGGGAAACAATTCAAGAAGAGATTGAAAACTGGGAAAAATTATTTCACATGATATTTTAGTATGTGTACATTTCCTGTGACCATTTGTAAAAATTAACATCTTTACCAAATTAACATGGTCAATTGATAATGACTGATCTGTTTGTGCTGTCTACATTTATAAGACATGCACAAAAAAACTGGTATCTTTAAGGTAAGCAATCTAAAGGGCTCAATATTATTTTACTAAACGAAATTTCTCAGTCATAATTTTTCATGTCCTGATGGAATTATGCTTCTAAATTTTCAGTACTTACTAGTATCCTTGAAATGGTGTGACCAGATTCTTCTACATTAATATATGCTAGTAACCACTACTTATGTGGCCGTGGACAAGTTTCTTTATCTCTCTGGGCTTTGTTGCCTCTGATACAGAATGGAAATGATAATGGTATCTTCATAGTCTCATAATGAGTTGCCAGGATCGTTAAATGAATTAATTATGTAAAGTGATTTAAATTTCACCTGCACATGGTAAGTGCTTTGCAGGTGTTAACTATTGGTATTAATCACTAGTGATTCCCAAACTGGAATTTTTTGTTAAAAATGTATCTAATAGTATTTTAATCCTAAGAGACCTTCCAACTGATTCTACTTTTAATTACTATTCAGTAGTATAATTTGCTTCCTTCCTTCTTTCTGCTGTATATACATTATATTTGCATAAAACATTTTCTCTGTTAAGAAATTTTCATATTCTTATACTTCATTGTCTTTATTGCATATATCAAGTTGTTTTTTACTATTTATTCCTTAGAATTTTAGCTGGAGAAATTTTTCATTTTGAACTGTGACATATGGGTCAACTTATATTCATTGAATTTATTAACTGAATTAGAAATTATTTGAAGTAGGATTTTCCTCAAATTTCTTCTCTTCCTTACTTCCTCCCTCTTTTTTTGGAGCCCAAGTCTCAGAGGAACATGTTTTCAGCCAGCTCTGGTCATGATAAATAGTGGGATTTTAAATGACATCACGAGATACATATTTCTCAGATACAGAAGTTTGTTATGTTCTTTTGGCTAGAAGAAACGTCTTCCTGGGAAATTCAGCCACAGAATGCTGGGTTGGAGTTTTATTAATATCCTTGTAGATTGAAAACAAAATGTTTTCCTTCTCAGTTTTTGTTCTTTTCCATTTGGCAAACCTAGTGATTTGCCACATGAGCTGATGTGTGTCTCATACACTTATTTTCTTGTGTACTCATAGCCCTGGTGACATCATCTGGAATGTGTATGATCCCTGGGAATAAATAACATGCTGGAAAGTAGCTTGCTTTGCAACAAGAGGATCACGTATGCGCCTTACACCATACTCAAAATATCTCAAACTAATTTCTTTTTTAAAAATAGTTTTGTTTTGTTTTTTGTGTTTTTTTTGGTACCAGGGATCGAACTTGGGTCCTTCCGCTTGCAAGGCAGGCAGCGGAACCACTGAGCTAAATCCCCGGCCCTAAAAATAGTTTTAAAGTGGTTTGCCACTCACATATACCCTGGTAGAAATAATAATAAGAAAAGGTTTGTACAACTAATGATTAATGATTTGTAAGTCAGAATTTCAAAATTGTTTGAAAATATTATCTGATGATATCAAGCACCTACACCATGAAAATGTCTTCTTTTGCGGGCAAATTATTAGTTCAACCTAATAAGAGAGAGGTCATATTCTTAAGTTCTGTTTACATAGGTAGTTTTTTTGCTGTTTTCTCTGTTCTTAAAGAAGTGTTCATTAAGTAGTGTACAGTTTTAAGAGGTCAGGATACTGAATGGGACCATTCTGCTCCCAATCTGACGTTTCACTTGTAGTTAAAGATTCTCAGGCGCCTTTAGTCCTTGCTTCCTCCTCCTGGTAGGGAGCTTCTTTTATTCATCACTCTTTTGGGGCATCACAGAGAAGCACACTGGCTGAAATACAGTGGTGCCTCAGTTCATGAACCGAATTCTTTCCACACTTCGCAGGCGTGACTCTGGTTGCAGTTTGGTGGGATGAATTCTGAGACCAGAATCATGGAAAGAATTCAGTTCATGAACCAAGGTAAGGTACCACTGTACAGCACAGTGTTCAGAGAACTGAGTGTGAATTCAAGCAAGGCAAACCTTTGAGTTAAGGATTAATTTCCAGAGAGAACTTCGCAACCCACTGGCTGAGAATTAACTGGTGGTGGTTACCTTTACTCTCTGTCTTATCTTGAACATAATTTTGCTTTTTAAAGGCACAGCCTATTGAACTCCTCATTTTCTCTTTTTATTCATTGCCTTCCCCAGTGTCCCTAATAAGTAGGACTCTTTTGAGCTGTAGGTTATGAAATTCTTGGGGTTTTTAATGACTGTGAGCTCATTTAGAAAGTAATTTATGTTTCTCATGGCCCAAAATTGTAGAAGGCCAATTACCTTAATCTATTTCTTTGGCAATTTAAGTGTTGCTTTTTCTATAAAGTGTTCATTACACAAATGGTCCCCACTCTGCAGTGGATGCTATTTTAGTGAGAAATTTAAAGACAGAAGGTTTCAATGACTTGCTGTAAAGCCAATTCAGGGACAGCAATGAAAGCCTTGCCTTAGCTATTTTTTTAAAGTTGGCATTCCATGAGTCACCATATGGAAGTGGATTAATAAACTATTTTATACAGCACTCAGTATTTGTGAAATTCTAAAAATCTGAAAGAACAATAATCAGATCTTCTATAATTAAAATAATTAAATAGTGGAGTCTTTGTAGTACTAGGATCCCTGTAGTAATAGATCTGTAGGCAACATAGCCTGCCATAAATAAGCTTTAGAAAAAAATGTTTAAATTTATTATTCTAGTTGTCCTTTCTTTGCCTTTGACCCTAAGATATTAATTTGTCTTTGGATCACCCTATTAGTTTTTCTATTAGTGTTTCTTCTCAGTGTGTCTCATACAGACACACAAATATGTACACACACGCACCCATACACAAACTATAAGAATCAGCAGTTACTGTTCCTGAAGTTATTAATGCCTTTTTTCACAGCAGTTTGGGGGCACAAGATACAGTTTGTGAGTTAAGGAGCACAGATATTTTCTTTCCTCATTTTTTACCCTGTGGTACTGGGGACCGAACCCATAGCCTTTTGCACTAAGTTACATCCAGATACCCACCCCCTTTTTGAGATAGATTCTTGCTGAATCACTAACTTGCCCAAGCAAGGCTTGAACTTATGATCTCTGGCCTCAGTCACTCAAGAGTGCTGTGATTACAGGCACACATTGCCAAGCTCAGCCAGATGTTTTCTTAAATAGAAATCTTTGAACAAAACTTTGCTTACACCTGTGATTCACTGGTTCATTCCCCAGATGTGTAGAGCAAGCCAGCAGTGTGCTACTTCCTACAACAACCATGACATCAGGACCCAGGGACAGTTCCCTTCTAGAGGTGCACCTGGTATGCTTTTTCCATCAGTGAGTGTCAATATTAACAAAAGGCCTACATGCTTGATATACTTTTGAATTTTACTGTCAACTTACTCTTATCTATATCGCAATGTCCAAAGTATTAAATACCTCTCATT